CTGTGACGAGTGTGTTGTAGACGATAGATATTGTTGTAGCACCAAACAATCTGTGTAGAGGTCGATTGAGCTTATTTGTCGACTTCGTAACCATGACAAAACCTCCTTGCATGCAAAGGCCTCCGCCATTAGAGGCGAAAAACAGTCTATCATAGGAGCGGTCATAGCCGACACGTATCCTCCTTGCGAATTCAGAATAATAGCCCCCACTGCTGCCTTGTTCGTTCGTGGGTCGTAAGCCGCATCGAAATAGCATTGATCCCTCATGCCTTGCATAGTATGGTGTAACATACCTGTAGGAGTCAACTGGGGCGATGGCACCGTAGTATCGGCCCCTTGTCTCGGCACATCTACTGCCGCAATGGTTCGGGCGGTGGTTACTGCCGTAATTCGGCCAGCTGGTGGCGTGGAATTGGCTGGCGGATTTCGACGTTCGGGGTGTACTGCCTTCCACGCATTCATGGCTGATAACGCCATTGCCACTAATTTTCGAGGCCTGGGCAAATGTGCTTCCTATACAGCTCCATTCCTTGCACGCCATATGTAATATAAAAGGGCCACTGCATAAATAATCCCATCATCATCTAAAATATTCATCAAATCATTAAACCAATCACTGAAAATATTTGTGACACTATTGGGGATTGGAAGGTTAGATTGTGTCCAAATGTTTGCCGTATAACCACATGTGATTAAAGAATGCACAAGATTCTCATGCCCAACACCACACATTGCACAAGTTGGATCAATATCTACTCTTCTTATAAGTAAGTTCTCCGTGGTGGGTAAAATATCACTTAGGGCTCTCCATAAGAATGTTTTCCACTTTGGGGGGACTTTTAAACTCCATAATTTTTTCCATTTATCAAAGGTCCCTACTGCCTGGGTATAATTGCCTACCACTGCTCTATACCCATCTTTAACAGAATATTCTCCATTTGGATCTCCATTTAAGTTCTCCATTTGCTTGCTTACCCAACATTGCAAGATTAAAGGCCCTCAACTCCTTAAATCCCAGTCCTCCAAACTTCTTCGGAATACACAGTTTGTCCCAGGCTTTCCAATGAATACCCTGATCATTCCTCGATCTCCACCAGTACCGATTCATAGTTCTCTCAATGGCAGTGCACAGATTCATAGGCAGTAGAAACACAATTATTGAAAAGGTAGGCATAGACTGAGCCACACTTTTCAAAAGAACTTCCTTCCCTGCCTGTGATAACAGTTTCTTATTCCACGAGCCAATCCTCTGTCTTATCTTATCTTCAATATAAGAAAATGCCTCTCTTCTATTCCTGCCCACAAATGATGGAAGCCCCAAATACTTCCCAAAATTCTGAGCCTGCACTACTCCCAATATATCAGCAATCTCCTCTCGTATTTCGCCCCGTGTATTCTTACTAAAACATATACTCCACTTGTGATAATTTACCGCCTGACCGGACATCATTTCATTGTTTTTTAAACAGCGTTTAACCACTCCCGCTTCCTGTACATTTGCTTTGAAAAATAGCAGACTGTCATCAGCAAAGAACAAGTGGGAAATGGAGGGCGCCCCTCTGGCCACTCTACACCCATGTATTTCTCCATTCATCTCTGCTTGCTGTAATAATATTGAAAGGCCTTCAGCACAAATAATGAATAAATAAGGGGACAGAGGATCACCTTGTCTTAAACCACGAGTTGGGATTATTTGATCACTCCTTGAACCATTCAGCAATACATTATACGACACAGTGGTTACACACATCATCAATAACTCCACCCATCTGTCATCAAATCCTAGAGCCTTTAACATCCCCTGCAAAAAAGACCACTCCATACGATCGTAGGCTTTTGCCATATCTAATTTCAAAGCCCCCCAGCCAGCTAGTCCACATTGCTTTCTATTTAAATAGTGGCCAACTTCTACGGCTATCAAGATATTATCCGTAATAAGTCTTTCAGATATAAACGCACTCTGGGTCTCAGATATAATATTCTCCATCAGTGGTTTCATCCTAGCCATAATAACTTTCACCATAACTCTGTAGACGACATTAATCAGAGAAATTGGCCTATAATCAGAAACCATTTCCGGGCTCTTCTTCTTCGGGATCAAAATAATGTTCGTGTCATTTAGTCCATCCGATAATGAGCAATTATTCAGGCAATTCACAATAAAAGAAGAAACATCAGAACCCACCACATCCCAAAAATGTTGATAAAACCCGGGGTTCATCCCATCCTGCCCCGGAGCTTTATCCGGATACATAGAAAACAATGCTGCTTTAATCTCACTCTCCTCAAAGGGGCGTAATAGGCTCTCATTGTGCACAGCAGTTACTCGTGGTTGTATACTCTCAAAGAAATCATCATTAACAGTAGGAGAACTTGAATTAAAAATTCCACGATAATAATCCGAGATAACACCTCTCATGGCATCCCCCTCTATCCAATCCCCATTATCATTCATAATTTTAGTAATAACATTCTTTTTCTTTCGATGAGAAGCATACCTATGATAAAACTTGGTGTTTGCGTCCGCATCCTTGAGCCAATGCTGTTTGGCCCTCTGCCTCCAGTATGCATCCTCCTGCAATTCAACACGAGTCAAGCACTCATCCAATCTCCGAAACTCAGCCAGTGATACTGGATCCGTATATCCCCTGAGGCGCATCTGTTCCTTTCGTAGAGTCAATATTTTTTCACCAAATTTATGGAATCGGTCTCCACCCCAGCGTGTTAAGAAACACTTAACAAATTTGAGTATAAGAAACATTCCTAAGCTAGTTATGAGATCATTTCTTAATGTAAAACCTCGATCAGGAATATCTGAAAATATTCGTCCCTCTCACGCTTGGGTCCCACAGTTCTTCCGCCTTCCTGGTTGCCGACCACCCGTCGTCCCAACCGCCTGGACAACCTTCTCAGCCTATCTAACTGGGTACCATAATCGGGATATTCAACACTATTAATTCTTAATATATTTATTTTTCGAATTTATTTCTATAATCCTTATCAAATGCTAAACCTCTCCTATCTCTTTATTCTTTAACTCTTCCCACTAAAATGCTAAACCTCTCCTATCTCTTTATTCTTTAACTCTTCCCACTAAAGTCAAAATAATCTAAACAATAATTTCATCGCATAATTGAAAAAACATTTTTTTAGTTCTTGTTATAGGCCTAACTTTAATTTATTGGATCTTATTAGTATAATAACAAGTTTTTTACGCGCATTGCGCGATTGAAAAAATGCACAATATTTTTTTTTTTTAAATAAGTACTTTAAAGTATGTTAAGGCAAGATTATGTTCGAATTGTTCATGCATAGATAATTTAATGTTAAATTTGTGTATTTAAATAGGCAATTCTAAGTTTACAAATACAAGATAATATAGTCAAGATTGATTATAATTGTCAATAAAATAATTGTATAGGTATGATTGAAACCAAATACGGACATAAGGGAGAGCAAATAAAAATTAGGGCATAAAATATTAAATATATACTAATATTGAAGAGCTAACTGCTGATTGTCAAACAAGGACATTGTGAAATAGTTTCCCACTTCAATTTGTTGTGTGATTTAAATACTCTTTTTGTCAATAAATCCCCCAAGTAGTTAATATGATTGGCTTAATTATATATTTTTTATTATTTTTAAAACTATTATTATTATTATTATTATTATTATTATTATTATTATTATTATTATTATTATTATTATTATTATTATTATTATTATTATTATTATTATTATTATTATCATTATTATTATCATTATTATTATCATTATTATTATTGGTGGGGTGTGAACCCCGTGGGCTCGGGGCTCAAAAAGAAGAAGAAAGGCCCAAGAAGAAGAGAGGCCCAAGAGGAAAGAATGCCAAGAGGGGGAAGCAGCCCAGGAAAAGACAGAGGATGGAAGCGAGAAGCCGGCTCGAGCCCGAGCTTGGCGGGAGAGCGGGCTCGGCACGAGCAGGCGGGCGGTGCGAAGATAGCCGTTAGAGCATTAAAAGGGGCCATTTAAGGAGCCCGGTCAGCATGTCATTGGGAGGCCCAGTAACGACAGCTCAACGGCCCTTAGAATTAATAGGCCGATGGCTTTAAATGTATGTTTTGAATGATTCCGAGGAGACCCACTATAAAAGGGAACTCCTCAAGAATGTTTGGGGGACGACAAGTTCAGGCCAAGAGTATACACACACTTATAAGAGCTATTATTTCCCTTTTATTTTGGAAAGGTGAATCCACCAACTAAGGTTGTGTTGGACCCCCCTGGGCTCAAAAACTCTAAAACCAACACTGGCGCCGTCTGTGGGGACGTAACAAAAGGTTATGATCGCTCTCTTGTATCGAGAAAGGAGTCGGAAATAGAGCAGAAAGACGAATAGCAAGAGTAGAAGTTCAAACCAATAGCTGAGGATCGAAGCCAGGCCCCCGACTGTCGTAACGTGCCCGAGGCAGACATGAGGAATCAACTGAACCAGCGAAATTCGCAAAGTCAGGGAGGTGATTCGGCGCCTCAAAATCGACCTCCATCCATGATACCTCTCACCCCCGCGTAGATCGAGGCTATTGCTCGCGCCGTAGCTGTGCAAACCCGGGAACTGAGAGAACCATCGGTCTCCCAATCGCCGAATCCGCAGCCGCAAAACCAGCATCCGCCCCAAAGGTCTGATAGAGACGGGCGAGAGGATCGAAGGGTGGAATATCCTCCAGCTCGGTCTGTGCACTCCAAACTAGGCCCAAACGCGACCCGACGCTCGACAAAAGAACGATTGGGAAAGGGAGCGCCCAGCCGAGCGCGGTCAGGTCGGCAGAATCATGAGGTCGCCCGAGAAAAGACTCACACACGAAGAACCAGAACTCAGGGGCGGCGGACTAAGAGGCATGCCGTAACGAGGATCGGCAAGCCGAATCCCAAGTTGGAGAGAGCACCGAGTCTACCGAAAACATACCCGGAACAAGGATCGACAAACGTTGCACACCACCTTGCCCTTCTCAGCCAAAATCATGGCATATAAGATACCCGGCGACTTTAAATTTCCGGAGCAAGCTACTTTCGACGGGTCGGGCGATCCGCGCGAACACCTCCTGAGCTACCAGGCGAAAATGCAGGTCTTAGGAGTCAAGGACCTTGTCATGTGCCGCGCCTTCTTGCCAACTTTGAAAGGGCCGGCTCAAAGATGGGTCGTCGCCCTACCATCGGGGTCGATCCACAGCTTCGAGGGATTACCCGACCGTTTCATGAGTCACTATGCTACCAACATAAAGCCTCAGAAAGACCTTACGCATCTTGGCGATATTCATCAAGATGAGACCGCGCCCACTTTCTTCATTGAGTCGCTTCGATCCGGCCAGCTGTATCGAGACTTACGGGATAATCGGCTAGCCACATATACGGAGGCCATTCACATGGCCAACAAGCGAGCTAACGTTGAGCAGGCCATGAAGTCTAAGCGACAGCGCGAGGTCGGAGGGGCCTCAGGAGGAAAACGAACCAGAGCAGATGCGAATGAAAGACATCGGGATCCACCAAGCCGACATGAGGCCCGGCGCGTCTACGACAGAGCAGTATTCATCCTTACCGACCACCTCCTTAACATCCAGTGCACGAGATAAAAGCGGGTGCGCCGCCCCCGCCGCCTCCACCAAGTGAGCATACGACGAGTGTTAACCCGGGTAAGCCATACAAGTACTGTAATTATCATAAAACTTATACTCACAACACGGAAGATTGCTGCTACTTGAAAAAGATCATGGAAGGGATCATTCAGCAAGGCACTTCGCCTCCTAACCAATGGCGAAGACGGGCGACATCCCAAACCAAAGAAGATGGCGACCCCTCTGGGTCGGCCGGCCTAGATCACAGCAAGCAGTCGGTATCCGCGGAGGATGAGGCGCAATAGAGACAGAAGCCGGTCATCAATATGATAGTTGGCGGCCCGGAGGGAGGCGACTCCTCTAATACACGAAAGACCTGGGCTCGGCAGTTGTACGTGGGTACAGTGTACGGGCGCGAAGGCAGCCCGAAGAGAATGCAGAGAACCCATAACTTTCACGGATAAGGACCTACTGACTGGCCAAGCACCGCACCGCGACGCACTGGTAATCGCGATGGACGTGAACGGGGTGGTTGTTCGACGAATCTTGGTAGATACCGGGAGCAGTGTCAACATCCTGCATCTCGAAACTTTCACCAAGTTGGGTCTAGCACGAGAACGGCTGACCCCGATCAAGACGCCACTGGCAGGCTTCACTGGGGATTCCATCGAAGCTGAAGGGTCCGTCACCCTGCCGGTTGAGATCGGCAACTATCCCGATATACAGAAGCTAGATATGAAGTTTATTGTGGTTGACCTGGCCTGTTCCCACAACGCCATCCTCGGACGACCCGGTCTGGATGACTTGGGAGCGCTGATCTCCATCGAGCACCTATGTCTGAAATTCCGCACGCCGATAGGAGTGGGCATAGTGCGTTGCGACTGGAGAGTCGCCCGAGAGTACTATTTGCAAGCATGCCGGGGAATGGGAAGACGAGAAATGCAAGTGCATGAGATCACCGAGCGGCCCGCAAAGAAAGAAATGGCGCCTCGCCTAGAACCGGGCGTGGAGTTAGAAGAAGTGGGGATCGACCCTGTCCGACCAGAGAGGCGGGTAAGAATCGGAGTCGGACTCAGGGAGGAAATACGAATGGAAGTCATACGTGTGCTCTGTGAGAACCGCCTGGTCTTCGCTTGGGGGCCAGAGGACATGCCGGGTGTGGACCATTCTATCATCTCTCACCGACTTGCGGTAGACCCCAGCCATCGGCCCGTGATTCAGAAAAAGCGATACTTAGCCAATGACCGATGATAATTCGTGAAGAAGGAGGTGAGCACGTTGCTGGTTGCCGGCCACATCCGAGAGGTGAAGTATCCGGATTGGTTGGCCAACGTGGTACTAGTGCCAAAGTCGGCGGCCTGGAGAATGTGTGTAGATTATACCGATCTCAACAAGGCATGTCCGAAGGATCCTTTTCCCCTACCCAGGATCGACCAGTTGGTAGACAAGACTGCGGGGTCGGCCCTATTGAGCTTCATGGATGCCTTCCGAGGTTACCATCAGATCTGTGTGCACAAAGCCGACGAAGAGAAGACAGCCTTCATCACCCCCGATGGTGTATACTGTTACCAGGTGATGCCCTTTGGACTAAAAAAAGTGGGGGCTACATACACCAGAATGGTCGCTCGACTATTCCAGGATCTATTGGGAAAATCTATGGCGGCGTACGTTGATGACATATTGGTCAAAAGACCGGAAGAGTCAGGTCATGCTCAAGATCTGGCCGAGTGTTTCCAGGTAATGCTTAAATATAATCTACGGCTTAATCCCAAAAAGTGCGCCTTTGCCGTGCAAGGAGGGAAATTTCTAGGTTACATGGTGACCAAGCGGGGCATTTAGCCGAACCCCGAGAAGGTCCAAGCCATTATGGACATGCAACCACCCAGCACCATAAAAGATCTTCAAAGGTTGACTGGCCGACTGGCCGCCTTAAGTCGATTCCTGAGCAAGTTGGCAGATAAGACTGTACCTTTCTTCGAGGCTATGAAGAAGAAAGAGGGCTTCGCATGGACCTCCAATCCGAGTGTCAAGAGTCCTTCAAAGAATTGAAGAGATACATCTCGACGCCTCTCGTATTATCTACTCCGTAGGTCGGCGAACCCCTATACTTATACTTAGCGGCGTCACCCAAGGCTGTCAGTTCAGTACTCGTTCGGGAAGAAGAGCGGGTTCAGCATCCGGTCTACTACGTCAGCCGATCTCTGGAATCTGCAGAAACTCGTTATACTCCCCTTGAAAAGGTGGTATAGGCACTAGTGGTCACAGTGTAGAAGCTGGCACCTTATTTTCAGGCGCACACCGTACGAGTCTTAACGGATCAACCCTTGGGAGGCGTGCTACGTAACCCCACGTCCTCAGGGCGACTCGTCAAGTGGGCCGTAGAACTGACCCAATTTGGAGTTGAGTACCAAGCCCGCCCTTCAATCAAGGGGCAAGTGTTGGTCGACTTCCTAGTCGAGTGCACAATCGGAGCTGCGAGTAGCCAGCATTGTGGCGGTGGAGTTATGCTAATCACTCCAGAAGGATTCTGACTATACTACGCCCTGAGCTATCAATTCCAGGCATCCAATAACGAGGCAGAGTATGAAGCTGTGCTGGGAGGTATCCGGCTCGCCAAGGCTGTAGGAGTCGACCGTCTGTGTATTAAGACGGACTCACGTCTTGTGGTAGGACAAGTATGAGGAACCTGCGAAGCTAGAAGCGCTCGGCTAGCGCAGTACAAACCGTCTGCGTATTAAGACGGACTCACGTCTTGTGGTAGGACAAGTATGAGGAACCTGCGAAGCTAGAAGCGCTCGGCTAGCGCAGTACAAAGAGAAGACCATGGAGTTATTAAAAGGGTTTGCCGCATATGAGATAGAGCACATCTCGCGAGCCGAGAACAAGAAAGCCGACATCTTGTCGAAGATCGCCTCGGAAGGGGTGCTGGACCATCTCCGGATGATCTGTCAAATGGAGGAGTTACGCCGACCCAGCATCAAGGAACCGAGTGAGGAAGTTCAGCAGGTAACAGATCCGGACTTGGACCGTGCCCAAAACCCGGAAATGTTCTGGATCGAAGACATTCGACGTTACAAAGAGGATGGAAAACTGCCTGACGACATCACGGTCGCTGCCCGAGTTCGAAGGAAAGCCACTTCCTTTGAGATCATTGACGGGCAGTTTTACAAAAGATCATTCGGGGCCCCCTCCTCAAGTGCCTGCTCCGACCTGAGGCGGAAAGAATAATGGACGAGGCCCACCATGGGATATGCGTAGCTCATCAGGGTGCTCACATCCTCGCACGAAAGTTAGTTGTCCAAGGCTATTACTGGCCTACTATGATGAGAGACTGCATCGACTAGATAGCCAAGTGTACCGTGTGTCAAGCATTTACACGAAAAGACACTCGGCCAGCCAACTTCTACACTCCGATTGCTACTGTCATTCCGTTCGCTAAATGGGGGATCGACCTATTAGGCCCTCTGCCGGTTGCCCCAGGGCGTTTTAAGTTCTGTGTGGTGGCCGTCAATTACTTCACCAAGTGGGTGGAAGCCGAGCCTCTGGTCACCATCACTGAGTATCAGTGTCGAATTTTTCTTATGGAAGAAGGTGATCTGTCGTTTTTGATTGCCCTAACACTTAGTCAGTGACAATGGTCGACAGTTTGATAGTCAACCCTTCGCGGATTTCTGTCGAGGCACAGCATTCGGCATACCAAGGTATCGGTCGCTTATCCTCAGGCTAACGGACAGGTCGAGAACGTGAACCGCACCATTACGGACGGTATTCGCAAAAAGCTAGAAGACGTGGGAGGAAACTGGGCTGATGAGTTGACCGCGAACTATGGGCGTATCGCACAACTCAGAGGCGAGCTACCGGCGAAAGCCCGTCCTCGCTAGCATACGGGTATGAAGCAAAGGTGCCCATAGAGGTTGTTGAGCCGACTCATAGGGTTCACCATTACACTGATGAGGGAAACGAGGAGAGACTTAGGATCGAGAAGAATTTCCTAGAGGAGAGAAGAGAAACATCACACGCTCGCATGGTGGAATACCAGCAGGCCGTCAAGAGGTATCGTGACAAGCGAATCCGACCCCGAGCTTTCCAGGTGGGGGACCTTGTCTTACGCGATCGACTGGCTAGCCGACCCACCGAAGGAGGGAAGTTCGCGGTCAAGTGGGAAGGACCTTACCGGATAGCCGCCGTAATTCAAGCTGGCACCTACAAGCTGGAAACCTTAGAAGGGGAGCCTGTCGACCGGATCTGTAATGTGATCCATTTGAAGAAATACTATCAATGAAAGGTTAGCCCCCGTGTATTCGTTAAAACGCAGCTTTGAATAAATATCTATTACTCTCCCGTATCCGAAGTCGTTTCTAAGATAGAAAAAACCTAAGGGGTCGCCTCAACTGAGGGACTCGGCGAGAAAAGAGATAAACAATGGGGTACTGACCCTTAAATGTTTCTAAGATAGAAAAAGCCTAAAGGAGTGGCCTCGACTGAGGGACTCGGCGAGAAAAGAGAGACAATGGGGCACTGACCCTTAAACGTTTCTAAGATAGAAAAAGCCTAAAGGAGTCGCCTCGACTAAGGGACTCGGCGAGAAAAGAGAGAAATAATGGGGCACTGACCCTTAAACATTTCTAAGATAGAAAAAACCTAAGGGGTCGCCTCGACTGAGGGACTCGGCGAGAAAAGAGATAAACAATGGGGCACTGACCCTTAAACGTTTCTAAGATAGAAAAAACCTAAGGGGTCGCCTCGACTGAGGGGCTCGGCGAGAAAAGAGATAAACAATGGGGTACTGACCCTTAAACGTTTCTAAGATAGAAAAAGCCTAAAGGAGTCGCCTCGATTGTGGGACTCGGCGAGAAAAGAGAGAAACAATGGGGCACTGACCCTTAAACGTTTCTAAGATAGAAAAAGCCTAAAGGAGTCGCCTCGACTGAGGGACTCGGAAAGAAAAGAGAGAAACAATGGGGTACTGACCCTTAAATGTTTCTAAGATAGAAAAAGCCTAAAGGAGTAGCCTCGACTGAGGGACTCGGTGAGGAAAGAGAGAAACAATGGGACACTGACCCTTAAACGTTTCTAAGATAGAAAAAGCCTAAAGGAGTCGCCTCGACTGAGGGACTCGGCGAGAAAAGAGAGAAACAATGGGGTACTGACCCTTAAATGTTTCTAAGATAGAAAAAGCCTAAAGGAGTCGCCTCGATTGAAGGACTCGGCGAGAAAAGAGAGAAACAATGGGGCACTGACCCTTAAACGTTTCTAAGATAGAAAAAGCCTAAAGGAGTTGCCTCGACTGAGGGACTCGGCGAGAAAAGAGAGAAACAATGGGGCATTGACCCTTAAACGTTTCTAAGATAGAAAAAGCCTAAAGGAGTCGCCTCGACTAAGGGACTCGGCGAGAAAAGAGAGAAACAATGGGGCACTGACCCTTAAACGTTTCTAAGATAGAAAAAGCCTAAAGGAGTCGCCTCAACTTAGGGACTCGGCGAGAAATCAGAGAAACAATGGGACACTGACCCTTAAGCGTTTCTAAGATAGAAAAAGCCTAAAGGAGTCGCCTCGACTGAGGGACTCGGCGAGAAAAGAGAGAAACAATGGGGCACTGACCCTTAAACGTTTCTAAGATAGAAAAAGCCTAAAGGAGTCGCCTCGACTGAGGGACTCGGCGAGAAAAGAGAGAAACAATGGGGCACTGACCCTTAAACGTTTCTATGATAGAAAAACCCTAAAGGAGTTGCCTCGACTGAGGGACTCGGCGAGAAAATAGAGAAACAAGGGGGCACTGACCCTTTAACGTTTCTAAGATAGAAAAAGTCTAAGAGGTCTCCTCAACTTAGGGACTCGGCGAGAAAAGAGAGAAATAATGGGGCACTGACCCTTAAACATTTCTAAGATTGAAAAAGTCTAAGGAGTCGCATCGACTGCGGGACTCGGCAAGAAAAGAAAAGAAGCTTAGGGTGTCAACCCTTAGTTATTTCCAAAAAAATGAAAGCATAGGGAGTCGCCTCGACGAAGTGACTCGCCAAGGGAAGCATCGAAACTTGGAAGCTTGGGAAGTCGTGCTGATTTTAAAGAAAATGCAAGACGAAGAAAGCTAAGTAAAAAGCAAAGAGAAGGATTTTCATTAATAAAGGTCCAAAGGGAGGACCAACCCTTACAAAAAAATAAGCTAAGGAAAGAAAGACCTAAGCTAAGGGAGAAGATGCTGCAACTTCTTCGCCCTCGACTTGCTCACCCGCTGATGGTCTAGCAGGGAGAATGACTGAAAGGTCTTCTGGTTGAAGAGGCACCTCAGTGGGCACAACCGTGTCAGTAGCCGGTAGACTTGGTGGAGCCAGAGGAGAAGTTGTAGTTGCGGCCCCGGGTGCTGGAAGCGGCTTGAGACCCCAACCCTCAGGAGTGAAAGAGGAGTCACGAGCCTGCAGGCTGGCATATAGCTCGAGCTGTGCCTCGCGGTACCCGAGCCGGTAGTCGCGTTCGCCCAGGTCGAGCAGGTAATCATCGCCCTCCGGGGTCGCCAGCCATTCCCTTGTTAGTTCCTCCCGTCGACCCTCTATGGCCGACTTGACGTCCGCGTCAAAGGCCGCCGACCCCTTGTACTCAGAAACCGCCGTCGCCACCTTCTTATGCTCTTCCTCCCACAGACGAGTCACCCTCATGAGCTCGGCTATGTGGATCTCCCTCTCTTTGGCGAAGGCCGCCTGCTCTTCTTGGCGAGCCTTTTGCAATTGAAGCAGACGAGTGCTGAGGCTGTGTACCCTAGCCTTGAGAGCCCGCATCCGCTTCCTCATCTCCAGTTGGAGAGCAAGGTTCTAAGGGAAAAAATCATGTCAGAAGAGCAAAAGAAAAGGAAGAAGGGTCTGAGCACTCACTCGGTAGGATTGGCGCAGAAAAGCCTCCAGGATGAGCTCATCCATCAGCTTGGCGGCCGACTCCAGGTCCCGGGGTAGAAGCACGTGCTCGGCCCACGTCTGGACCGAGAAGTCGCTCTGCCATATCTGGGCGTCCTCGTTCAGTTCCAGGCCCACCCGAATCTTCTTGGGCGGAGGAACTTCCGGCTGCTCCAGAGGTCGCTTGGAGCTCGGACTCTCTGTCGAGGCCGGTGGAGGTCGAGAAGGAGAAGCCACTGGGGAGGTCGACAGGTCCACCACATTTCTGGGTGGAGTGATGCGAGATACCGGCAGAGGGAGCGAAGTCGTAGCAGAAGGGGTACCGGCCGAGCGCTGAGTCAATCGGCGCGTCATCTTCTCAGCTCGATCGCCTATAGATTTGGCTTGGGTGTCGACCTCCTCGGAAGAGTCGGAGGCGGAGTCGTCAAGACCTGCACATCGGAAGAAACTAAAGTCAACTGATTACTTAAAAATGGAGAAGCAGGGAGAGGGGTCTGAGAAAAGACTACTTGTGGTGGCCGCTCCAGTAGGCAGAAGGCCCCACTTCGCCATAGCCCGAAGTCGCGACCAGCGTTGGGCACAGTAGGGCCCCATCCTCTTCAGAAACTTGGCACCCCGGGTCGCCTCTTGGGTAAAGACACCTCACCCGGGTGCAGGGTTTGAAGAGAGTGTCCGGCCACATGGTCGGAAATGCAAAATGAGAAGAAGAAGGGCGAACAAAGAAGAAGAAGGGCTTCCAGTCCTTCACAGAATCTGGAAGACCCTCAACAAGACACGCCCAGGACGGGCAGATATTT